AACATGGATGCCTGCCCGTTTCAGTCTTAGCATGAAATTCTCTTAAGAATTTCTTGGCAGGCTTCTCTTTTGAGGAAAGGCTTAGTTCTAAGGTCACTTGACCAGTCTTTTGTGAAGTCATGGCATAAATAACTTCTAAATTCTACAGCTGACACACCTGGCAAGTCCCAGGATATTTAACAAAGAAGGCTGGTTATGATATTTCTGGATGAAAAGTACTATAGATTTGTATTACATAAGTATTCTTTTTTTATGTAGAGCAGTATTGGTTCTAATGTGTTTAGCGCCCTCTGCAAGCTGGAAAATATAAATAACCTTGGCAGACTGCAGTCATTTTCACACCACATTCACTGTAAGTCTTTGTTCTCCAAAAAAGCCTTAGTTTTGTAACTGATTGTTCTGCATGATTGGTAGAGCCAGCATCATGAACAGGTGCTATGTATTTACACATTTTCTGCTTAAATAAGCAGAATATTCCTAAATTCATTATAGTGATCAGAAACTGGGGGCCAGTTAGCGAACAGCAAGCTTCATGGAACAGATCTAGAAAATGCCAGTAGCTGGGAAGAATATTCTTAGTCCTGGGTGCATATTTGAAATACTGTTTCCACTATGTGGCTGTACTAATACACATACTCAAGTCAAATTGTCAATAGGCTTTTTACTAATGATTTGCCACCTAACGCATCTGGAGGAAAGTGGGATACCAACTTCTTTGCTGTTCAAATCTATTTAATAGCATCTTTCTGGCTTGTTGTAACCCGAGTGTGGTCCTTCCTTCCGATGTTAATCTGTAATGGGTATGAGTTAATATTAAATTTCAGTAACTAACTTCAGTATGGCAGGCTTCTTTTTCCTACTCAACATGTTGAGAATCAGTCAAGCTACCTTTTTGACTGAGCTTGTAACAAGATCTAGAACTCCTTCTGTCATAAGAATTGTTTCTATTATAGTAGCGTACCAACAGACTTGCAATCAAAATGTTTAGCAAATTCTGTGAAAAATCGACTATTCTTTCAATCAAGGAAACGTAAAGGATCTTATTAATTTGTTTTCAATATGTATTACCCTTGTATTAAGTAATTATGACTCTTGGATATTTCTTGAACAGATTGACCAGGTTTTGTGATCTTGAGTCTGTCAAAATGTGATAAGGACTAGTGGGTTTTTTAAAGTTTGATTTTTGTCCCTCTTTACTACTTGTAAACTTCTTACAACTATGAGCAAATCCCCCAACCCTGCAAGAAAGGCTAATGCAAGCTGGCAGCATTTTACTTCCCAAACTAAGGCTACCATGCCCTCTGCTCTTTTTTCTTTTACTCCCATTGTTTCCAATACTGAGATGGTACTGCTTGTCTGAAGCGTTCTTGGGGCATTTGTAATGGACACAGAGCTTTTATACCGGCACAGTGGTATTGATACAACTGTGCCGCTGTAAGATCTGTCATGTAACCACTTTAATTATGTTGGTGGTAGCAGCTTTCCTCTTGACAGAACGCTGTGGTCATTACCACTTATGCCAGGGTGTTTTTTCATAAGTTTTGCTGACATTAGTGTAGATGTGGCCTAATACACTGGTTTTGTCTCTGGCCCAAGTCAGTACTGATCTAAAAGCATTATCACTGACTATTCTGTGCCTATACATAACACAAGTTGTAGATCTTGGTTCATTCCCTAGAACATGAATGTCCACATCATATAATTTGAAAACTGAACTGTATTATAACAACTATTCCATGTTGGATTGAGTTATTTTGGTGGAACAGTAGGAGAGTGACTGCATGCCTAGGGATATATTTTTTGAGATGCTCAATGTTCTTGCTGCCCTTCTCCTCATTCACTTGTTTTCCTGTTGTCTCCTTGATTGTTCCCATTCCTTTCTACTCCACTTACAATTTATCCCCTCTTTGCATCTCTCTCTCTCTCTCTGTTAGTTCCACTCACCATCATTCACTTGCTCTTTTCTTGGCTCTGTGTGTTGCTTCTTTCCCAACAAACAGGTTAACCTGCTGTTTCTTCACATACCTATTATTATAAGAGCTATGTAGCTCCTGAACTACTTCATTGCTACAGCCCTTTGTTGGTACCTGCTGTCCCCTGAAACATCTTTCAGAGAAAGAAGAGCAAAAGACTTGGTGAAAACTATTCACCTCCTGCAGTGCTCAAACATTGGCACCGTAGAATGCTGCTTTGGAACACAATGGCTACATCTAGACTGCAGGCTTTTTGCGCAAGAAGTTTTTGTCGGAAGAGATCTTCCACAAAAACTTCTTGCACAAGAGCACGTCCACACTGAAAAAGCGCATTGGAAAAAGCATGTGCTTTTGCTCAAGAGAGCGTCCAGATTGCATGGATTTCTCTCAAAAGTAAGCACTGATTGATATGCACAAAATGGCCACCAGGGCACTTGTGCGTTTTCTTCTTTTCTCTTTTTGCGCAAAACCCTATCCTTCTCTGTCCACACGTGCCTTTTTGCAAAAGAACTCTTTCGCAAAAAGGCTTCTTCCTCGTAGAAAGAGGAATGCCAATTGTGCAAAATCTCCTCTGTTCTTTCGATTTACTGTTGAAAGAACGCGCTTACAGCATGGATGCTCTGAGTTTTTGCGGAAAAACAGCCATCTTTCTGCAAAACCTCTGTAGTGTAGACATAGCCTATGACAGTAATGGAATAAATTCCAGAAATTGAAATACAATACAAACAAATGTTTCAGTGCTTCTCTGTATGGTGAGACTTGGATAGTTTGTCAGCTGTATGCGTGGAAGCTTTTCTAATCTAGCATCTAATAGCATTAAAATTAAAAACTGTTTAAAAATACTCTGTTTATAAAAGAGAAATATTTCTATAGTAAGGTTGTGTTAGCATTTCCACTGCAAGTTTATTCAGTGCATTTTTTCTCTCTCCATCTTGAAGCTTACATTTAGAAACTCGGAATATTAAAGTGTGGGAGGATAATGGGATGGATTTCCAATGTTAAAAGCTTATAGAAAAACAGTCAATGTAGCATGTTTTCCTTTTAGTTTAAGAATATTTAATTGTACCATAGATATAGAAAATGGACTTATTATACAACATCTAAAACATGTAAGGAGCTCTGTAAAACACATAGTTCATTTATTCTTTGTGCAGAACCTAGTACCAGTGGTGCTGAAATTAGAGGTGCTGGGGTATGGCCATAACTCCTGGTTTGAAGTAGCAATAACAGACACTAAACACATGGTTTCCATCATCCACATCCTCACAATAAAAATTGTTCAAGCTCCCCTGACTAGTGCAATGGTATCCTGATCCATAACTGCAACTTCTAGGGGCCATGATAATACTAACAAATAATGCTACCCCTTTGGGCACTTTAGGGAAGTGTTGCGTTTTCTTAATATGTCTTTAAATATGTTGTGAATTCCCACAAAAATAAAATAAGGGCCCAGTGTAGGTCCTTTGTGCGTATGGTGGCAGGGAGGAGGTGGATGAAACACAGAACTGGCCTGAGCTTCTATTTTTCTCATCCTCCTTTCTTCCTAATGGGTGTTCTTTCCTCCACCCATGCAAAATACATTTTTTTTGAGAGAGGAAAAAGAAACCAAATTTTCTTTTTCTTTTTCTTTTTCTTTCTCTCTCTCTCTCTCTCTCTCTCTCTCTCTCTCTCTGTGTTTGTTTATTTATTTATTTATTTTATTTTTTAAATAAGCTGGGATACCTTTCCTGCAACCACTTCCCAACATAACTTTAGTTCAGCTTTTTCTGTAGATCTTTCCTTAGGCCTAGTAGGTACAGTAAAACTCCAGTTGTCTGGCATCCAGTGGTCCGGCACTCCCAATAGTCCGGCACCAACTGGAACCCAGAAGTGCTCCGGCCAGCTGGACAATTGGAGCTGCTCTGCACCGCTTCCCCAAGTCCGCTGCTGCCGCTGCTGAAACTGACCAGTGGTGGACTTGGGGAAGAAGCACAGAGCAGAGCAGCTGGGATGCTACCGGGTTGGTCCCACAGCGCCGCCCCTCACCCCCCTGCTCGGTGCCCGGCAGCACCCCAGCTGCTCTGCTCCGTGCCACTGCTGCTGCTGAAACTGATGAGTGGGGGACTTGGGGAAGCTGCAGAGCAGAGCAGCTTGGGTGCTGCTGGGCGCCGAGCAAGGG